GTATTTTCGATCAGTTTGCTTACCATGAGTTTAGAGTTTACGTTAGGTGTGCTCGCTAGCGAGTACGTCAAAAAAATCTATGAAAATTGTAGTTCTTGAAAGTAGCTGCTAGAGGCGCTGTACAATCTTTCATACATTTAACGTCATTTTTTACGCAGTCGCTAGCGAGCACACGTAACGTAAACTCATGGTAAGCACACTGGTTCATCTTTGGACCCTAGTTCTCTGGTAATGATGATTTTAAAGATATCTTGGTCGATTAGACTGAACCAGTTGCAGTTATTCGTTTGATACCAATCCCGTTTGGATAATAGAAGCATTTTATTCTAGCAGTCATGGAGGTTAGTTAGGTTGGTTATAACTATATGTATTACTGGCCATCATAAACCTACTTCATTATTGAAGACATCATGAAATTGAAAGAAAGAAAGAAAGAAAAAATGTTTATTCAGTATCATCGACAATACACTTGCTATACAAAAAAAAATTGAATTGACACTACACTACATTGACAGTACATTACATGTGCGTAACTAACAGTGTGCCTACCATGAGTTTACGTTAGGTGAGCTCGCTAGCGAGTACGTCAAAAAATTCTATGAAGATTTTATTTCTTGAAAGTAGCCACTAGGGGCGCTGCACAATATGTCATACATTTAAATGTCATTTTTTTACGCAGTCGCTAGCGAGCACACCTAACGTAAACTCATGGTAGGCACACAGTCTACACTCAAATTCAATCTAAGTTACAAGTTTTCAATTTCCTCGCGCAGTGATCAGTCGATATCAATTTAGTGCTAAAGCGAACAAACTGGAACAAACACTCAGTCTGTCAATTATAATCGGCAAACACGTAATTACGCCAACATGAATTCGCTATCAATCTAAACTCGCTGATATCGGTGGTCTAAATCTATACTAACAATTTCAAAAGCTATTTGATGGAACAAATCAACAGAAGTTCTAATTGCAGTGTTACACATTTTTAATAAAGATAAGTATAAAATTATTGTTTACTTCAAATATAATTACGTTCTCCTTTATTGAAAACAGTTCTTGTACAATTAGAACTATAAATTGATAGTCCATGCGAGGGTTTTCATTTCACGCGTAACTCAATACACGGTACGGTACGTAAATAATAAAATGAAAAAAGAACTAAAAAAGGTCCACTTTAATTGTTGATTCATCGCAGCTCTGGTTTATCCATATTAATTAAACTTCACAGGGGAAAATAGCCCTATTTTCCTCTTGCCTAGCACGGTGGTCTCAACAGCATATCCACTTGTTGTTAGCAAACTGCGAGTAAGTAATCTAGCATGTGACGGCTTAAAACGGACGACAATAAAAAAGGGATAAAAGCGCGGTGTACATGTAATATTGCCAGCCGCAAACAACTCGCTAGCGAGTCTCCTAAGCGATTTTTCATGAGCTACGCGGCGTTAATGTGTACAAACGCTCTTGGCTTCGGCATACTTGCATCTTCTGCGGATATAAATTATGCCGGGAGTTGGTGGCGGGTGGTGTCGCGTTTCACAAAATTCCCCGCAAGATAACTACCCGGACAGTTATTTTTTTCGTATTTCAGTTTTTACGGCGCTGTATTTACGACGTCTGATACGGGTAAAGCCGCTCCTTGGGGGCCGCGAGTGCGAAAAATTACAAAGAACTAATTTGTTGCAAGGAGTGACGTAAATACTTTTGACAGCAATGTAATTATTTGTTGCCAAAATATTATCACTTACGAAAATACTTAACACTTCTGTTTCGTTATCATATAATTCAAAGATAATATTTTTTGCTTTGGTTTGTAGGTACATGTACGAAAGCATACTCGTATAAGTAGGTACTGACGTTAAAAAAAAATGCTAAAAAGAAAAAAAGAAATTTTAGATCAATTATTTTATATTATATTAACAAAACTATTACCTACTTTAAACTTAATTAAGTAGTGTTTTGCTATTTTTCAACTCGTTGCTCGGATATTTTGTTAAGTTGAAGATGAGCGAGCACAGAACATCTTCAGAATCGAATTACGTAAATAGTTAAAATAATTAAATTATGAAATAGAAAATAGAGAGCATTTATGAAAATCTTCTTTAAACGGCTAAAAATGAAATACAAAACTGACTTATCTCCTTTTCTTAATGCCTTATGGATCTTAAACTCGATAATGATTGTGTTGTAATTTGTTCGTCAAGTAATACAGACATCGTAGAGACACTAAGGCCCAGTATTTTGATTCATAGTTAAAATAACAAATTGTTTGCTACTAATTGTTAAATATTAACAAAATGTTAACTCGTCGTTTCAGCCAAATGACGTCCACTGCTGGAGAAAGGCCTCCCCCAAGGTTTTCCACAATGAACGGCCCTGCGCTGCCCGCATCCAGGCTCTTCCCGCGACCTTAACTAAACTAAAATGTTAACTAATAGTTAAAAAATGTACTAAAAGTCAAGCTAACCATTGTTGGTAAAACATGTTTTTCTGATATTTAACCACTTGTCATTTGACATCTGTCAAATTTAACCATTGGTTAACTTAAATACGAATCAAAAAACCGGGCCTAAATGGTTTTAATAGGGACAATAGTTAATTTTAAACTTTCACGTTGCATAATTGAATTAATTTAAATTTATCCGCGTATCGCGTTTAAACCTGTTTAAATTAATTAAATTAATAGGGACAAGTTTAGAAACGCTTTTAATAAAGATGTACCTTGTAGTTTAATATGCTGCCGACTGTATTTAAAATAAAAATCCTTACTTTATCCCTTCATTTTAACTTACCATTTAAAACAAAATGTCTTAACATAGATTTATTTGATACACGCTCTAGGATTAGATTTAATTTTGAAAAAACATAGTAGGTACCTAGTAGGTAGTACTTACCTACCTTTTTTTTGGAAATCTCAGTGTTTTGGACATTCAACCGTTATGTATTACGAATTTACGAGTAGTATTAATATCTATACTAATCTATACTAATATTATAAATGCGAAAGTAACTCTGTCTGTCTGTCTATCTTGCTTTCACGCCTAAACCACTGAACCGATTTTCATTAAATTTGGCATAGAGATATTTTGAGTCCCGGGAAAGGACATAGGATAGAATCCCTTTTTTTGAAACAGGGACGCGCGCGATAAAGTTTTTCTGTGACAGACAAAATTCCACGCGGGCGAAGCCGCGGGCGGAAAGCTAGTGATAATGATAAACACTTCCTGGAGTTTCAATAAAATAATAATTAATTTTATCTTACACTGTATACGTTTGCAAAACTCTATTTCATTGTATATGTAGCACAATCGCAGTAAAGTATAATTTAGTTAAATAACTGGAACGATAGTGGAGGTTATCGTGTAGTGTGAGAGTAACTTCGATATCTGAGAAATGCTATAAGACAATGCTAATTACTTACATAATTATTCGTTGTCTACATAGTATTACATTATTAGTATTAATACGTATGCAACAAAGTTTTAGAAGAAATCATATTTATATTTTCCATATTATCCATATACTAGTAAATAACAGTTTATGACGACACTATGGCACTTGAAGATTCATTACTCCAAGATGTTATGACTCAATGCCATTGTCTGCTGATTCCACTGCTACATTGGCATGGATTTTCTTAATCTAATTTCCTGTGTAGGTACAGTTATGTAATTTTCAAAACTGGGTCAGTTATCCCTGAGATTATACAGTGTGAGTCACGTTAAAGTGCATTTTTTGTGTATTTTATGTATTTTTTTAGTATTGCCTGTTATTTAGCATTATTACTGTTTTTATTTTATCAGGATATACCGCTTAGTTGTTTAAAAGTTATTACGTTTTCTTTACAATATGTAATTGGAAGAAAAAAAATTATATAAAAAATTAAAAAAAAATCTCAAAAAATTTTTGACCTCTTTTTTATCGATAAAAATAGGTCTAGTTTCATCTATTTTCATATGTACACTTTAACGTGACTCACACTGTATTATAAAAAGTATAAAAAGTAAGTAGGTACCTATGCCACTAGAAAATTTTAAAACTCCAAAATGAACCAAATTAATGGTAAAACTGGTTTTCTTTATGAAATCAGTTATAGTATCCCATCCCAACTAATTTTTGAAACAGGGACGCGCGCGATAAAGTTTTTCTGTGACAGACAAAATTCCACGCGGGCGAAGCCGCGGGCGGAAAGCTAGTATAATATATACATATATAGTACCTAATTTAGGGACAGGGGAAAAACATATTTTATAGTTATTACCATAATCTAGCGTTCACTATTTGTTGATGCTACCAGGGTAATCCCGCAATCCAATATTCATTGTGTAACATATTGTCTGATAAAAAAACTTTGTAAAAAAGAATTATCAGTATTTACATCCCTATTGCAAAGTTACATTTCTTACAATGATTACATAAGATCAATATTTAGACCGGCTTGTCGTCGCGGCGTCGTTGTTTAATGTTTAAAATACTCGATAATGGTTACCTAAATAAACAAAAATTATGATACACAAACAAACCAGTCAAGATTGCAGATAATGAAGATAGATCAAAGTTTAACGATCAAACAATGTGATGGGTGATTGATGACCTGTATTTCTCACGTATTGAATCTAAAAAAATACTAATATTCACGCGGCAACATTAGTACCTCTAGTAGGAAAAACTTTCGAGTTCGTTTCGTTGCGTATTCAAAGTGTCATCGAAAAATTTTGTATGAAAAATTAAACAGCGCCCCCTATATTATAGCCGCCCTAGGGGGCGCTGTTTAATTTTTCATACAAAATTTTTCGATGACACTTTGAATACGCAACGAAACGAACTCGAAAGTTTTTCCTACTAGAGGTACAGTATTTGTCGGCGGTTATTCCACGAGCGTCGATGCAACCTGTAGGTATCATCTATGAGTCCCGTTAAAGTCCAATTGAAACCCTTATTGGTCAATTGATAAGGTAAACGTGTTTTTCCTGTTACTCATGCAGAGGTAAACAAGTGTACATTTAAGTCATTCAGTGCGGAGGCGAGCTCACCAGTCGAGCGGCATACGTAGCCGGGGTCAGGTTTCGTCATACGTTGATTTAGTCACGCAAAATGAAGTTCGCCGCAGTGTTGTTCGTTGTGCTCGTAGCTGTAATTTGTCTCGGCCAGTGCAAGGATCTGATAACTGGCACCAGCTTCAACAACAGACTCATCTGGCAGCAGAAGGTCGAGTACAATGCTATCCCTCTCAAGAAGAGGGTCAAAGAGGTGTTCTACTCCGACGCTGGCCAACAAACTATCAAGGTAAACAAACATACGCACATTTGGAATCTTAATTGCATAGCAACTGCTTGAGTTGATAATTCTATTGTTAAGTAAATACAATTTATAAAGGCTCGGAAAAAGGGTATAAAATATTAAGGTAAAATTAATACTTAATGACAGTTAATTATGTATTAGGTTCAATGATTTTAAACACGTAATCGAACAGTAAATAATAAACAATTGATTGAAGCACAATGAAAACTAATTTATTTAGTGAGTGAGTGATATTTGTTAGATACTTACCTAGGTACCTACCTACTTTACGATAAGTAAATAGGTAAGCAAGTATAGTTATTTATGTATGGTCTTATTTTGTTAAATGAGGAACGTCTTTGTGTTGTGTAATATGTGAGATGAGTTATCATCTTTACGTAATTTAAACAAACTTACTTGTCCAAATTAGCTCTTATTTTTAAACATGTAAAGACTAATTTATAAAATATAGTTTGTTATTTTCCTCGTAGCCTTTATCTTACTAGTTCTTAATAAAATCTGTCACTAAATTAGGTCAATTAGATTGTTGAATAACCAGTTTTTTCCGTACCTATTTAGTGCATATCTATTTGATACAACTATGATTGTCATTCTTGTAAAACTAGAATAGGTACCTACTTACCCCACCATGCACCTTACGTATTTAACTTGGACGAATTTAAAGTAACATATTCATGTAAGTAGCATACTTAATTATTTTTAAACTCATAATTCCATAAATTTTTGGAATTATTGCGTACCTATGTAAGCGAACAGTGGCCTAATTCACGTATTTTGACACAGTCAAAATCTCCCTAAAACGTTCAGAAGTCGTCCCACTGAAAAAGAGTTCTAAATGTATTCATATGGGTCATTTCGATAAAACGATTACTCGATAGGATCGCAACTCAGCGATTTGTTATCGTTGTGAAGTTTTGTTACGTGACTAAGGCTACAGGTAGTGAACATATTAATATAATACCTACTAAGGTAAAAATGATCTTATTTACCTCTTTAAGAATATAGTGGATTAAGGTAATAATAAATCTATAAATGAGGTTATGTAAAATACAGTAGGTAATGTTGATGAGTAAATAAAGTCAGTTCATACCAGTGTAGACTGTGCCGCTAGAAAGTGGATTACCACATTTCAAACAAAGTTATTTGCCCCGAAAATAAGCATCTCTGTGGAGCTCTAAGTTGAAGAATTTAATTCGAAAATGAAAGGACGTGTGATGTGATATGTCTAATAGTTTGAGAAATTATGATGTTGACTCAATATGCTCGTAGCTTACGCCCGTATTCACAAACGATGCTTGCTTAAGCGAAGCAGCAAATCGAAATCACTGTTCAATAGAGCTCGGTGGTTGGCTCGTGTGTCACCCTGTGCGTCCACGCGCACTGTGAGACCTCATAGTAATGTTTGTGAATACGGGCGTTAGTCGCAACGGCGCCATGACAATGATTAACGAAGTTCTGCAACACACGCCGCAGATGGGAGTGAATGGGTGACCATTCTCCTCATGTTTTACCATATAATTTTGCCAAGCAACAAGTTTTCTGATCGATTATACCGTCGCCGTTGTTGGAGTTTTAATAAATGAATCTACCTTGGATGTGCAATTAGCACTGGGAACAGTCTCTGACAAAATATTTTGAACTATCTCTATCTGTAATTCTCAAATACAATAACAAGCCAAGCCCAAACCATCAAAAAGGTTTTGTGATAAAGTAAAAACTCCGATTTTATATTCATAAGATCCTTTCAGTCCTTGATTGTTCTTTCTTTTATTTCCAGGGTGTGATCGCGAGGGATCTTGACCACACCGAAGGCAGCGCCTCCATCACCGCCGGAGGGCCCGGCAACTCCTACGTCAACGTCAGGTTCAAGAGCGAGAGGGGATCCGGACTCAACTACCAACTAGAAATATACGTATAATCAATCACCAAAATCACCGCCAAAATTATGCACAAAAAATTAAATTCTGGCCATTGCATTTAAATTTATCTTTCAATGTTTTATTCATGGTTTCCACCCTGCCACAGGGAGTTGTAAAGGGCAGTAATTCAATTATTCGTTTGAATGTTTCAGAACCAGAATAAGTAGATTAACGTCAAAAATAAAGTCTTTATGGTGGTTTAAAAATAAACAGCCGAGCAGGATATTACGCTCCACGATTTCATCCATTGTATGTTAATAAAAACACCTGATTTGTTACACCTCAGGTTTTTCATTAATGGAGGATGAATTTCAAAACATTATTTCCAAATTTCCTCTTTTTGCAGCCTACTTTTTGTTAATAAGTTTACTTATTTAAGAATCATTTAAGTACTCGTATAGAAAATCTCATTACTTGTATCGCGTCGCGGCTATGATAGTCACACAACTATTAAGTAATTAAATACAATAATATACGAATGAATTGTTGCTTTAATTACACCACATTTCACATTTTTGAAGGCGTTTAATGAACCGATAATTTATTTGTAATTAACAAAAGATTGAGAATACACCTGTTTCTACATAGCTAGGGTGATATCAGACTGTTTATTTTGCACCAAATAAACAGTCTAGAGGTGTTTACGTCAATTGTCAAGGATTTTATTGTTAAAATGTTTTTGTACGAGACAGTTTAAGCTGTATTGTCCTTAGTAGTCACGTGTAAGGAAAATGCTAATAGGACATATTCAGATCTCATCGGATGATGTCACCGCGCCTTACAAAGGGAGGAAGTGTCCATTATTGTCCTTGTCACCCGGGGCCAGCGCACGCGCACATCTGTATTGCAAAATAATTCAAATTACAACCAATTAAGCGTGCCACCAATTTTGAGATAAAATGTAAAGTTCCTACAGTAGGCGCGCGAGTTCATGTCCATCGGGGCGTTACTTACTTACTTATTTCTTATACTTATACTTACTTATAAGTTGCAAAAAATATGGAATAAGTAGATAAGGTTGACCTACTTAATTGGTAATAATTATCGATATCGACATTAGCATAATTAGTTAGGTAACAGCACTACCGCATTCCTCAGGATGGACATGAACTTGCGCGCCTACTGTACGTTTCACAAAAAAAAAACAAATTACTAACGCTGTTGAGGGAAATTAATGTTTGATTGAAAAATTACAAAGCAATTAGCTAAAACAGTTCATTATATCGATTTTTTATAAATAAGCTGAGTTTAGCTTAGATGGATTAACCTTGCAGTATAACCCCTGAATTATTTTGTCATTTTCCTACAAGGCTTGTCACGATAAAAGAACCTTTATGTCAAAAAGCTTTGGTATTAAAGCTCGGACCTGGCATCGGCGCGGGCGCGTGCCTTTTCTCAGAAAGAATAACGAAGCACATCCACGTGACGTCCTGCGCACGCCCCGTCGTAATAATAATATGTCAATGCCATGAGCAGGTGTAGTACGGTCAGCAACTCATTTGACTATAAATTTTGCTGCAAAATATCGTCTATTACCAGGCCTCCGTCACTCGCCTATGCCGGCCGAGATAATTACCTACAGCGCGCGACAACTTCAAGTTGCAAATCAGTCAGGACCGCCACGCGCCGTGACGCGCCTGTGAGCACACGCGTATTTCTATACACGCTCGGTCGATCATCGTTGAAATCAAGGTTTATTGTTCCAACAGCACTGTTATTCTTCTTTAATGGAAAATCGTAATATTTAGAAATAATAATTAACTGTAGTGATTTAAATAATTTAAAAAACTACACTTTTTGAATAATTTTGAAATACTTATGACAAAAAACTGTAGCAAAAAAAAATATTTTACCTAATAAAAACATTAACTTTTACTTTACCGTGTCTATTTTCCGACACTACACCTTTTAAAACTGTTTGTCCAATTTCGAATTATCGCAACACTGAAGTTTATTAATAGGTACTTTAGAGATGGTACGATTATACAAACACCACTAGATTAAAGTTTACCAGTCGTAAATACAATAAATGCTTCTTAAAATTAAGTTTTTATTTATTTTACTTTGCTTATACAACCCTGACGCTTGAGCTGTGAGGTAGATCAATTCTGAACACAAAAAAACAAACAAAATCAAAACTGCAAATTGATTATAATTTAATTTGCTACACGATTGCTAATTTAAATAATGTATTTCGTGACAAACATTTGAAGTTGTAACTAATAGTTATTAAATAATATGTTTTCTTTAAATATAGCTTATTTAAGTGTTTATGCACGTATGTCTTATTTGTAAAATATTTAGACTAAATTATTAAAACATCTTTGTTTGTTACTTTTTTAAATTTTTATTAAAACTTAATTTAAACTATCGATATTTGTATTTCACATCCCTAGAATACCACACCAGACTTCCCCACTTCAGTGCGGCACAGGGTGCATAAGCCTTGTATTTTGAATATAGCTATAATTTTTATACTAAACAAGTTATTCACGAACGCCGTCAGGTGTATGTCAATAAATGCATTATTATTAATATTCAAAGAAAAAAAACACAATATCTATTAACATGGAGCCAAAAATAAAATTCATATATCTTAAATATTACAAGGTCTTTAAGCCTTGTGCCGCCACAATGTAAGTTTTAATACCAGGTTTACTGACCTTGTACCGAAGGAATGGAAAGTATTAGAAAGTTACTGCCGCAGCAAAGGTGTTAACAGATCACTTCTTTCATGAAAAATAATGGTAAATGCTTTACGCTTTTCACATAATAATGTTACGTAGTTCATTACCCACATCCTTAAGCGTCGTTAACATTTTCCGCCCCAGAATTTATCCTTATTTTCGCAATCGCGATTTCTGCCCAATAAGTTCATTACCATTATTGAATTGACGAATAAGCCGAATTGTACGATTNATTGAGAATACACCTGTTTCTAGCTAGGGTGATATCAGACTGTTTATTTTGCACCAAATAAACAGTCTAGAGGTGTTTACGTCAATTGTCAAGGATTTTATTGTTAAAATGTTGTTGTACGAGACAGTTTAAGCAGTATTGTCCTTAGTAGTCACGTGTAAGGAAAATGCTAATAGGACATATTCAGATCTCATCGGATGAGGTCACCGCGCCTTACAAAGGGAGGAAGTGTCCATTATTGTCCTTGTCACCCGAGGCCAGCGCACGCGCACATCTGTATTGCAAAATAATTCAAATTACAACCAATGAAGCGTGCCACCAATTTTGAGATAAAATGTTAAGTTCTTACGTTTCAAAACAAATCAAAAGAGGGAAATTAATGTTTGATTGAAAAATTACAAAGCAATTAGCTAAAACAGTTCATTATTTCGATTTTTTATAAATAAGCTGAGTTTAGCTTAGATGGATTAACCTTGCAGTATAACCCCTGAATTATTTTGTCATTTTCCTACAAGGCTTGTCACGATAAAAGAACCTTTATGTCAAAAAGCTTTGGTATTAAAGCTCGGACCTGGCATCGGCGCGGGCGCGTGCCTTTTCTCAGAAAGAATAACGAAGCACATCCACGTGACGTCCTGCGCACGCCCCGTCGTAATAATAATATGTCAATGCCATGAGCAGGTGTAGTACGGTCAGCAACTCATTTGACTATAAATTTTGCTGCAAAATATCGTCTATTACTTACAATTACTTAAGTTGACGAAGTGTGGAGCTTGATGTGCCGCCGTATCTATCGAAGTGATAATACTTACCTTAAAATGTTAATACGTTGTTATTGGTAGGTACATAGAAACTAAATTCAGCAATTTATATGCAGCAGGTTTTTAATTATATTGAAGTTAATCTAGTATACCTAACTATGTGTTGGAAAGTAACATTTGAATTGGTAAACAAAATCTATTTAGTAATGCCAATTGACTGTTGCAGTCAACTAACGAATTATTCCAGCGCAATGCAGTGCTCTTCATAGAAAATTAATTTACCGTCTGCCAGTGCTGCTCTCATTTGCAATCTTCAGTCAACAAAGTACCTTGGTGTTTGTCAATCTTAGTTAATATCTATTTTCTGATACACCACTGTTGTAGTCTAGCTACGTAACAAAGCAGTTTCATTCGGTCCCCCGATTCCTCTTTTACGGCTAAATTAATTACCCGACACTTGATAACGGCGGAGCAACGGATTAATTTTCGCGAAACCATTTTGCTGTTCGTCAATCCAACATTGTAGTGTTTTACACTTGAAATTCAAAACAAAACAACATTAACAAGTTGGATGACAACAGTAACTGGTAGCTGTTAATTTAGTAATACCAAATTTAGTAATTTAGTAAATCTAATTAACAGTTTGTTAAATATAAAAGAATTTATAATTTATTTATGATAAATATCACATAATGTACTAATTGAAATATAATGAATCATTGTATTTCAAAATTAGGCTGACGACATTATAAATTCAACTACGCAGGGACTGAATTCAATGCTACAGTTTTTTGTAACACCTCTGACGCACATACCAGTAATAGGTAGATACTAGAGGCACCTACAATATACAATGCAAAGACAGACAAACTCATAACACAGTAGTGATGACCCCAACTCTACCGTAGGTATTATCAAGGACATTCAACAGGTAATAAGGTATAAATGTTGTGAATATGACGACAGGGATCCCATTATCGCGCTCTAGCCAAAATCCCGAAAACTGCCCGCCTTACTACAAAAGGGTCTCGCCTAATTTATAGCTGAAATATCCCGAACAGGCCCCGGGAAGATAATTACGTATTTAGCCGAGCAAACCTTGAAATGTTAACTCATTATCGTTTGTATCAACTTAAATTTTTGATTTAACAACGTGTTTTTGGGAGTAAATTATGACAGGGCGCTTTGTTGTTAAGCTGGTTCAATCTTTAAGACCGAAACAAGCCAAGCTTCAAACTTTGTATTTTAATAAATGAGACAGTATACAAGAAAACACTTGAAGAATTCGTTTATTCCCAAAAGAAGTCGTTATTTTTACAGATAGCATTTACTCGAAACATGCCAGTAACGAACCTACATTAAAACTGTACACACTTAAAATGGGTGGGCCGGTCTATATTTTTTTCATTCGCTTTTGATGGTCGCAACGTGAGTTTAATTTCCTGACCTGGAAATTAAAGGTCGTAATGAAAACGCAAAGGTTGACGGAATAACACCTGAATTTAACTAATCTTTTCAACGCCCAAATCCTTGCAAGATTCCATTCAACAAGCCAGCTATTCATTCCGAAATGTTATCTTGATGCTCCGTCTCGTCACCTTTTATAAAAACATTTTGAAAATCTCAAACAACATTTCACAATTTAGGTCAAAATACATTTTCTTGTTCTTTTTTAAATTATAAAATTCAATTGTACC